ACTGCTCTCGTGTGTGTATATATATATGTGTGTGTGTATCGACAACAACTTCGCGCCCGAGGCGTCCGTACCTCGTGTGCATGTACTCGATGCACGATGTGTGGCATATACACGAGAGCACATTTTTCGCGGATCCGTATCGGGAAAGGGGAAGCTCTCGGCAGCCCACATGCAGTTCATCATCGCCGTCGTTCCGCTCGATAAGCTCGTTAATTAGGCCCAGTCGAACCGAGCCAACGTCTTCTTCTTCTTCTCCCTTTCTCTTTCCTTTTTTTTCCCACTTTTTCTTCTTCTTCTTCTTCTTCTTTTTTTTTTCGCTCAACGGCGTACGGTACTTGTGTATATATACGTGCACCCACCGCCCCGAGATGATAAAGAAACTTCCTGAAAAGAATTGCTCCTCCATCCATCCGTGTAACTACGCACGTGTACGGGCTAACTTCCCTCCTCCTCGTTTTTATTATTTATGTTCTTACCCCCCACCCACCCCCACCCCCGAGCCAATATGCGTATATATATATCAAAATTGTTTTCGAGCCATGTACTCTTACGTAGGGGATGGGGTGGCTGGTGGGGATTATTTGCGCGTATCGCGCCGGGGTATATTTTTTAATTTGAATTCGCCCGATAAATCGTGAGGACGGAGAAAGTATTTTAGTTGTTGGGGGGAAGGGGGGGGGGCAGCGAAAGTCGAAAAGGACTCTGTATAAATGATTAGGTTCGAAGCCAAAATTTATCTCGAAGATTAATCGCTAATCCGAGCCTTTGCTCTTTTCCTCGATCTTTCCCTCTATTATGTATTGGCTAAGCTGCTTAAGCGCCGGCGGCTTTGCTCGATATGCTTCAATGGAGGATTTGCTGGAAAAAGAAATTTTCCCCCGATAATACCTATACGTATACATTGCATTCGGAAATTATTTTTTTTTTCTCTCTCTCTTTCCCGAAAAGGAAAATAAGCCACGCGGAAGAGGATATAAATCGCGTAAAATCAGTCGTGCGTGAACGGACACATGTACATGTATTTTTTCAAAAAAAAGACCACGTGTAGGTACTTAATGCGTACTGTCGCGGCTCGTCTTGCCATGCAAATGCAACGACACTCGACCGAGCTCGATCACGCTCGGTATATATTATACATTTTGGGAGTCGATGAAAAATTGGCGAGTAAAATTGTTCGCCCGGATCATTATATCGGCGGCGCGCAACGCATGTACCGAATTAAAATTCGCCTCTACATATATTACATTACATTATATATATATGTACTTACGTACGCCGCGGTAAGATGGTTCCCTCGGGGCTTCCCTGGAAATTATCGTCTTTATCGAGCCGATCGCGCGCCAGATTACACCGGAGCGCGTTACCGATCGATAACGGTACACACACCCGCGGCCTTCTCATCTCTCTCTCTCTCTCCTCCTTTCTTTTCTTTCCCCCTCCCCCCTCCCTTCGTTCAGAGTCACTTTGACCCCTTTCAGAGAGCCGATGATGCTGCACGGGGATATGTACGTACGTATATAAGTACGTATTATGAAGACGGTCGAATCATCCTCGCATCATCGTTCAGAGCTGACGAAAACTCGCCGCGATCCCCATTGTCAGCTCGTATCCTCTTTTCTTTTTTTTTTTTTTTTTTCCCCCTCCTTATCTCGGCTCGGCTATCGCCGGCGCTGTAGTTTACCAACATTATGTATGCGTGTTCCCCCTGTATGGCTTTGTCGGGAATTCTTCGGCTGCAATATGACTTTGGCTTGTGTACACGGCGACGTGTCGTACAAGCGATTTTTTCGACTCTCGAGGCATCATCCTTCTTTTTTTTTTTTTTTTTTTTTCTTCCTTCCTTTGTCCGCCACAGCCGTGACAATTGATCGATCTATTGTCTTACCCGTGCTTGAGACGTCGGAGAAAGAAATTGCGCCACGTAATAATTGTTAATGGGTCGCGTGCGCACGGTTCTCTTTGTGTGTATATATACGTATGTATATATACCATTGTTATTATCATTTGTTTCGGGCTTGTAATTTTTTTTCTCCATCCATCGCCACGCGGATGTATGTACATACCTATATTAATGTACCATGTCGGTAGGTAGGTAGGTAGGCATCAAAAAAAAAAAAAAAAAAAAAAAAAAAAAAAAAAAAGGTCGAAAATTTCATTCGACGCTTCGGAGCTCTTTTTTCCCTCAACCTATTATATACAGTGTGTCCGACACAATGCGTTCCCGTACGTATACCTACGGGGGATTGATTAATCGTTGCCGCGTGTTCCCGCGCGTAGGTTATACGGCAGGGGAAAAAAAAAAAAGAAAAAATTAAACTTTGATGTAATTTTAAACGAAGCTCGGGGCTCGAGGTGTATTATTATCCCATTGGAGCAATGAACCTAAAAAAAGTAATTAAAAAAAAATTAAATAAAACAAATGAACGAGCAGAGTTAGATAAAGGGCGATTGTGCAACCGATGCAAAATTCGTTGAAACGTTGTGTAGGAGGGGGGGGGGAGGGGATGGAAAAATTTGACAATAATAATAGCGCTCGCGTGCATATCATCATCATCATCATCGTGATCTACGAGCTCCTAGCGAAACTCGTACATATAATCATCTCGTCCGTCCCTCTTTGCAATGTAAACAGAGTATAGAGGAAAAAAGCACGCACGAATGTACACACGTATATATGTATTTTGTACGCAAGAAGATGTATATATGATATTTAATAATAGACAATGCCTATATTTATATGTAACAGCATAATCGAGGATCTACTTTTGTGTGTGTGTGTGTGTGTGTGTGCGCGAGGACGCGTGCATTGGTTCTCCATATTTTCACACAGAATGGAAAGGAAGGAAAGATGATCGGCTCTCTCGAAGGGGGGTATTGTGTGCATATTAAATATATAATTCACAATGCTCGGGGTGTATATTCATGCGAGGAGAGGATGTGAGGAAGAATCAAGAACACAGGGAGACGACAGTCGAGTGTCCGTTTTAATCACAACACAAGGTAGATAATATAATGCAAGCAGAAAAAGAGAGACAGGAAGAGGAGAGCAATCATTCATCTCTCTCTCTGGAGCGCTGTACGATACGTGTACATGGAGCAAACGCCGATCCTCGAGAAGAGCGTACCTATGTATACAGAATATATATGTTGCACAATGTCCTCGGACACCTCCTCTCTCATATTCATTCATGATAATAATGAGAAGCACGAGGAATATATACCTACGCGTATCCACCTCTATATATTATAATACACGCGCGCAATGTGGGCCTCTGGGCTCCCTACACGCATATAGGTACACATACTTTTATCCGCACAAAAGTGCAGTGCAGCTTCTCTCGCCGCAATGGCACAATGGCACAATGGCTCTCTCTCTCTCTCCTCTCCCAGGACTTTTAATGCCGCTCTCTCTCTTTCTCTCCCTCTACATAGCTGCACGCACGCATGCTCCTCCATCCACGTGCGTATAAATGCATATACGCGTCGATACCTACCTGTTGATGGGTGCCTTGTATATATATATATATATATGTACCTTTTGGCGGTGCGAAAAAAAAAACAAACATAAATAAATTAAAAAAAGCAGAAGAAAGGAAGGAAGGAAGAAAGGATCGAGATGCCGTAGAGACCGGTGTGCACTTGACACCTCTCTAAGGACAAGGGAGGGGGTGTGGGGGAAGAGAGTCGATGGGCAAGGGCGCGCGCGCGCGAGTGCCGGCTCTCTTTTCTTCGTTTGCGAAATAAAGTCCCCCTCCGGCGATGCATGGTGGCGCGGTATTTGTTTTCCTTTTCGAAGGAGGAGGAAGAGGTGGCGAGCTTCTACATATACATACATATATCTTGTATATAGGTGGACGTAGCATCAGCAGCAGTGCAACTTGAAGAATTTACGATGCAATCTCTACCCCCTATACAAATGTATATATATATATATATACATATATGTGTATATGGCACACACTCGCGGGCAGTGCAGCTCCGAGAGAGAGAGAGAGAGAGAGAGAGAGAGGAGGCTGCGTTTTTCTCCTCTCTGTTTTGCTTTTGCCGGAGAGAGTGGATTCAATGTCCATGCAAAGCGAACGCCGGCGGCCGAAGGCTTGTCAATTATCCGTTATATACAGCCCGGGCCTCAAAAGCTCGGCTCACAAGGGTTGGGGAGGGGGAGCAATCCTTTTAACGATGCAGTGCTTCTTCGTCGCCACTCTCTCCTCTGTTTTTCTCCTTTGCTCCGTCCAGTGGACTTATATATACATACCCTACCTATATTATATACTTGGCTCCGAATACCTATTCCGGGCGAGAGGGAGGCCGCTGATACTCGATAGCCTTGCGCTCGGCAAAAGACGAGGAGGACGCGACGACGAGCCATGAGAAAGCGCATCTCATTTTCGACTACTGTCATCGGGGCCTCTCTCTCTCTCTCTCTCTCTCGCATGCAACAGACCCCTCGGCATTGCATTGTGTGCATGTCCTGATCCTCGTCGTATATATATATACCTACATTACTGCCGCGGTTAAGGAGTGTGGGAGGGGGGGGGTATGGCAGAATCGAAAGGGGATAATTCGGGGCACGTTCGATGCAGATATATATCGCGAGCATTTGTAAGCGCGCGAGACCAACCAGTTCTCTCTTGCCTATACATGTATACACGGGGAGAGTTTGGAGCAAAAAAAAAAAAAAGAAAAAAAGAAAAAGAAAAAACAAAAGAGTCGGACGACAGCTGCTGCTTAGCTGTGCTGTTATATGCACGACGATGGTGAGATTTGATGTACGGTCTAGACGCGGCGAGCTATACATGGGAACGTGCCGTATATATAAATATAAGCGAGCGCGCGAAATTTCACCTCCACCCCCTTCTAACGTATATACGTATGTGCTTGCTTGCTCGCGCCTTTCGCTCGAGATGACTCTCGTATACCCGATATATACATGTATACAGTACACTGCACGTAGGTAGGTACACGCGTGTTTGTACAGCGTCACGCGAGAGATGAGCGAAATGAGGGTAATGCAGTTTCGCTGTAGGTATATACTTGCACCACCACCCCCCTCCCCCTTAGTAGGGGAGGAGGGGTTGTGTTTAACCACGCTTTTAACGACGAAATTCAGATGTATTTAAAGAGGGAGGGGGGGGGGGAAAGGAAGAAACCGGCGCTCCAGCTTAATTAGGAAAAAAAGCACACGGCCGCGTGTGTGCTTGTAATACAGCTCAGACGAGGAGAGGACGTTTGCCGCGTTAAAGTTTCATACTCCGAGCAATAAAAAGCATTGCGACGACGATACTTAGATATGTATGTATACGTATATGGTATACGTGGCTACCTACGCGCGTTGCGAATTTTCATGACGACGGGCCCCTCTTATATGCCCTAATAACTATATCATGAGCTTTGCCTCATACATATGTGATATACATATATACATATATGTGCACGTACTTATCCTCGTGCCGCGACAGCTTTATTACGCGAACCAAATGACGACGACCAAGCTGGAAATAATATATATATAGAAGTAGCTCTCGGCTTTGCACGGAAAACGTATATTTATATAATGTACGTACGTAATTCATAGCTGCAGGGCCGTAATCGCGTTATTGATGGGTAGGAATGTAACTTGGGGTCTCGTATAATAATATAATATATGCATATCTATCGCGTAAGCTTTTTTGATGAGGTTTAATCGGGCAGAGCTTAGAGAAGAGTTGATGCGACAAATAGCTCGGCCACGAAAGCTGGAGCATCAAGTTTAATCTGTATACACATAAATATAAACTTATTTGGTCTTGGCAAAATTAACATGTATAGCCAAAGTTTAATTGTTGGTTTAATGCCGGGTACAATATCACGCGTAGAGAGGAGGTTTACGCGTTTACAAGAGTCTGTATATAAAAGGTTTGCGTGTGGGTATAAGAGTTTATCGCCTAGCCGATCAATCGAAGAGGAGGAAGAAGAAGAAAGAGGAAGGAGGTACAGCGTGTAGAGTTTAGTCGTATATGGAGCGACACGCGTATGTATATATATATATGTATATATATATATATATATATATATGTGTAGGAAGCGAAAATACCTTTTAGAACCATCTGCCGGGCCGATAAGAGAAATCGTTATCTCCGCGGGCCCGTATGGCTATCTTCATCGAGACTCGGCAGAGTAAAGTGGTGGTAGGCCTCATTGTTCCACGTTCCGGGGGATCTGTCGGAGCAAAATGCGCTATTACTACCTGTTGGAGGCGAAATACCGGGAGATATATCGGGCTATAGGTGTATATATATGGGTATATACACGTAGAGTCTAAAATGCATTTTTTCGCTTGTAAATCCGGAATTCCCATTCTGTATTTCTGGTCCCGGTGCGATATATTATCTTTATTAGGAAAGGAAGAGGAGGAGGTGGTGATCCGAATTCCTTTGAGCCGATGTTGAGAAATCTCGGGGGCCTATGCCTACCTACCGCAACAAAATGCGGCTCTCGATAACATTGTGCACTCCCCCCCTCCCCCTTTTGAATTTATGTGCAATTAGCCGACAACAACATACGTGTAAATACCCTTACAAGAGTTCTTTGACAAAATGCAGTTCTTCCCCCTTTTTTTATATAATTTAAATTAATTTTAATAAATTTGTATAGATGGAAAGAAGAGCGAGTAAAAGTTAAAAAAAGAAAAAAAAAAAAAAAAATGTAATCTTGGTTTTTGTTGAAGGTAAGTGTTGCCGGTCCGAGCAGCAGCACGAGCACGAGCAACGCGAGCACGAGCGGCACGAGCACGAGCAGCAACGGGGCCGGGCCGGTGGTCGTCAACAACTGCAGTCCGAGCGTCGTCGGCGACATGGACAATTGGTTCGCGGGTGTGCCCGAGGAGGAGGTCCATTATTACTCGAGCGACGACTTTGACTCCTTGTTCGCGGTGGTGAGCAGTTTCGTGCCGCCACCGCCGAGGCCGCCCTACCTGCCCGAGGAAAATTTGCCCACGGACGGGCTCACCACGTGCGACCTGTGCTCGTGGGCCCTCAGGAACGACAGGTACTCGTTCTCGCTCGACGGCACGCTCGGTGAGTCCAACTATATCTTTACGTGTTTTTTTTTTTTTTTTTTTTTTTTCCCCCATCAACGCCACCACTTGCTAAACGCCAAGCCATTAACACCTCTCGACCGAATGGACAACTCGTGTTCCGTTTGTGTAAGAGGTTTCGCTTACCTGCTCCTGGCGGGCGATAAATTCGGGCTCCTCGATGTACACACGTATCGCGCCGGCGATAAAACAACAAAAAATAAAAAGAATAACAGTTGTCGATATACGCAACCCACCACCGTGGGATCCGATATAAATCTCGAACTCTGTGTAATATCCTGTTTTTTGTTTTTTTTTTTTGTTTTTTTTTTGTTTTTATGTCAAAAGTTGTATGCTTTGTCTTTTTACGACGTAGAGAAACGAAGGGACTATGGCCGTACACGACCCTCACAACGTGATAATACACGTATAGGGTGTGTGTTATTCACATTGGACGTACATTTAGTGGCGTTTAATTTTTTCGGTTTTAAAAATAAAGCTAAGCTAGCGAAAAGTATAGTGTAAAGTAACGCGGGTCGGCAAACAAACGGTGCGCGTATATATACAGCGGGAGAAGGAGGAGGATGTGAAATAATTCAAGCCCCGATAAAACCGGACCGAAAAACGCCGAGCCAGCTGTTTATCCTCGCTTCCTCGCGTGAATTTCGCCAAAGTCGGAGCACTCGAATATTTCTCGCGCTCTGCTTTCCCCCCCCCTTTTTTTTTTTTTTTTCATTTCCCCCTCCTCTTGGTCCACGCTAATTCCGCACGCGCAACGGTGTGGACAGCGCCGGTGGTGGGCAACGCCGTCAGCCGCACGCATACATAAATACACCCGAGAGCCGGTGCAGCGGAGAGATAATCTCGGAGACGATCTCTCGGTGTTGCGCAGATTTATACCTGCAGGCCGCGCGCGCTCACGTATACACACATCTCTTGGAAAAGGGGGAGGGGGATACCTTTGTATATAGCATACATGCATACGTGGAGGCGCAAAGTGGCCATTGAATAGCCGCGCGACGCACCTTGCTGGCCTTATACATACCTCGATATCTCTCCCTACCTCCCTCCCTCCCTCCTGCCGATTTCGATACACATATTACCCACACAACCTGTAATACAATACACCCTATCGCAGGAGGGGGGGGGGAAGAGGCGCGTTAGATGCATCCGCGAGATGTTGGCTCTCTTCGAACGGTGTGACGTGTACACACAATGCAGCCGCGGCGGCAAAGAGCCGGGATTTATACGTAAGATAGAGCGTCGACAACTTGTCACGTTTCACCTGGCGAGAAATCGCGCGCCTGTATCGGTAATGCGAGAGTGTGTGTATACGTTAAAGAAAAAAAAAAGGGGGGCCAATCGAGAGGAAGAGCAACGAGGGAGAGACATCGGCACGGTAGAGCGCCCATTATATATCTAGCTTCCCCCCGATGCTTAACTTTTGATGCATCGTTGCCTATATACGCACCCCCTCGTGTGGGGGGCGCAATCGCTGGGGCAACTAGCGCGGGCCAGTTCATTTTTATCGAACTTTACGCTCTCCCGGAGATATATTGGAAAACAAGTTTTTATGAAATAGCCATATACCTATCCCGAGATATACTGCCTCGGTGTGTGTGTGTGTGTGTGTAGGTATATACGCGCTCCCTCTCTTTTTTTCCGATGCATGCACGGCACCATACGTCATATTTATGAACGCGCATGAATTTTTAGAGCTACCGCGGATTATCTGCGGCTGAATTAGAGCGGCTTTTTAACCTTTTTTTTTTTTTTTTTTTTTTTCACCATATCAAAATGTACGCATATAGTATAGGATTATCGAGCATATAGTCGACGGATTCTCCGAGCGAGAGCAGAAGGTCACTCGGGAAGAGCTGTGGGAGGGGAAAAAAAAGAGCATTGGCTCGGGCTTTCAGGGAAAATGGTAGAGCCGTATGGGGATTATCCCGAATGTACATGTATCGTATAAGACGCTCGAGTGGTGTCCTTTTAACTTTTTTTTTTTTCCCCCTCCTCTCTAAATCCTACTCGCATGGCCTGTTTTTAATATTGAATAATAAAAAAAATGTGACTTACAATCTCACGTTTACATCCAGTAATTTTCACTCTTAAGATGAAAAAAAAAAAAGGAGTGTTTTACCAAGTATAAGTGTAGAAACCCGGTGCAAGCTCGTGGAGGCAATTATTACCGAAGCTACGGCGGTAGCAGTAGCACTTGGATCGATAAATTTCCATCCGATCGCGCTCCAAGTAAGCCCGAGGAATTCAACGATACCTACTTATGCTCACCTCTCGCTCGCTTGGCTCCCACAGCAAAAAATAAATGCGCAAACGTATACAGCTTTTTCACCTATCGTTATGGCAATGGATCGTCGTCGTGCAAAAACACACACGTACACAGATATATGCAAATGTCACTCATTACGGTCCATATCGAGGCGAAAATAGAACCTCCATGCAAACTTTTCTCTTTGCAAGATTTTGCAATGGATTTTTTTTTTTCTATAAATTATTACACGTATCGGCCGATCGAGAGACACTCGCAATCGTCAGAGAGGTGATGCCGTGCATTTCGCAAAACGTCAGTCATTTCCCGTGAAATGGCACACACGCGGTACAATGGCACAACGCGAGGGGCTTTACGTAACAACAAAATACACACCAGAGTATACCCCCTTTGTTCGTATACACTCTAATATGTACGAAATGCACTCGTATACGATATATAAAATATAGGGTATGTACCCATATCAAGGAGACTTTTCCGCTCGAGCGGCAACGGGATCGGCGACGTTGACGTTTCTCGCTCTTTGCCCCGAACAAGAGCAAAGGGGGGAGACAGAGCCTCCGTTTCTTTCTCTCGATTGGAAAGGGGGAGGGGGGAATTGGCGCATCTGCCCGAGATTTTCGGCGCTGTATATGCACGTCAATCAAGCGTCGCGGATTCACCCCGGCTCAGTGCGATCCTTTTGAGCCCCTTTTCCGCGACGTCCGGACAATGACGGCCCGATTGCGATCTGGCCCGGATATGTGTACCGTAGAGGTGCCGTTCCACGGGGTGCACGCGCGAGATCGCGGTTGATCGAATTATAGAGAGAGTAACGATCGCGGGAGGAACACAACGGACGTGCCCCTTCAACCAAGCTGCACACGGTATATAGATAATATGTATACATATACCGTTAGTGGCAGGACACGCACGTGTATATATATAAACGGAGGGGGGAGGGTATTGGGACCATTATTTTTGCCACGATTTCTCAATGGTTATACGTACCTCCTGAGCGGCGTTTATCTTTATATACGAACGACGGGGTCTTTCCTTTCGCACAGGACTACTTATTCGCCTCGTTCCCCTCGCGAAGATTTCGCTCATTTCGCAGCTTGCTTGTATACATACATACATACCCTCGTCTTCTTCTTTTCGCGGAGCTCTTTGCGATCTAAAGGCAGGTTGGGGGGGGGGGGGTTAGCTTGATTTTATCGATGTATTGATAAATTGACTCTCCCGTCGACCGCCGCGCTGAAAATTCCCGGCATAGTGGCGAAAATTCTATGGAGGGTATATACCTACCTACCTGTGCGAGTGCTGATGTACGCGCAATAAATAACAAACCCCTCTCCGTCTGTACTCTAATGGGCCGCTCGAGAAACGTATTGTCCGCGGAATTTTCCACCCTGTCGTCCGGTGAATGCGAGAGGTGTGTTATATATAATTATATATACACACAGAGGCGGGGAGTGTTTAATTAGAATTGAAAAAAAAAAGGCTCGGATATCCGGTGTGGAGAGTCTTTTTGTGGTGGCTAGGATGGCGCGAGTCACCGGGGAAGAAACGATTGGGTTCGTTAAGCTTTGCGAGTGACGGGTATATCGCGACGACGACTTCATTAATTTGGCGCGCGCAAAATTGTCATCCGCACCGCAGTGGCTCCGGAGAAAGAATCTCGGTGGGCCGTACTCCCGAGCTGTCATCCCCAGCAACGGAGAGAGCCCGGGGCGCCCCGGGGGGCTCGTTCATCGTCACTCTCATACGGCCCATTGGCCGACAACAACGGAGCCAATCCCCCGTTTGGCCGATAATCGCTCAATTAGGACCGAAAACTCGAAAGCCCCCGGAAAAGCTTGTAGCTACGTTCGCGTGCAGCAACGGTATATAATTATAGAGATGGATGGAGCAGTGGGCTATATATATATACACGTATAAGGGTTAACACAGAGCAAAGGGGCGGGGGGAAGCCGTGATAATCGCTTCATCGTGACGCGGCCCTACATATGTATACACGTAACTACCGCGAGGTCCGGAGAAGGGCTTGTGTGTGCACGGGGTCGAAGCACCTCGAAAAATCCCGTCGCATGCACGCGAGACACACGATACGTCGGCGAAGCCCTATATATTCATGGAGTCGCGTCGGGGCGCCTCCTCCTCCAAAGATCGAGGATGATTTTAACCCTGGCCGCGCATGCTGTGTGTGTGTGTAGGGTCGCCGAGGGGGGGCTGGGACACGCAGTCATCGACAGATCGGTTAATCGCGTCAATCTCGAGACACGTACACGAGAGAGAGAGTTTTGCCCCTGCCTGCGGGGGCTCCAACCCCCCGGCTGCCATTCAACTACCTAGAGAGATATAAGCTCGTATACGTCCGAGTGTAATGTAACGTTTCAGCGGGCGGTCGGGAGATATTTCTCTCTCTGTACATGTACAGCGGCCCTTTCGATTGACGGGCGCTCTTTTTACACTTACCTTGTACATGTATATATAATATATGTGTGTACGCGTACGGACTGCCTTTTTGCGAATTTTCTTGGCAAACGCCTCCTCCGTCAAACGTTCGAGCTCGTCCGAAATTGAGACGTTACCAGTATATTATGTGCCAGTCCCGAGACGGACGGGGGTAATTTTTCGCCCGTCGAACTCGGGACTAAATATAATTCATCCCTACGTATACCCATTATAACGTTCGGCGCGCTCTTTTTATCTTTACAAGGATACTTATA